TGTAATAACTGGACGATCCAACAATTGATGAAGCACAATCTTCCATGATTTAAAAACTGTTGCTATACTGAGATTACATTTGGCTACTGAATATAGTTTAGCAGATCCATCCATGAGGTTTCTTTTATACCACTGTCAGCAATAAATTGGGACTGATCTCTTGTATGGTTTTCATTTGGGCTCTGACAGTACGTCAATGTTAATCTTATTCATGAGAAATACAATAGGAAAGTAATGATGCAAAGCCTAAGATCAGTATCATCTTATCTTAACAACAGTCAAATCAGAACTGATGAGTATCAAAATGTTCCTTATGCATCATTACCAAATTACAGAGCCTCGTTTGCAATGAAACTTCATATATCAATATGCAACTGCCAAATTTGAAATGAATAATAATATCATAATTTTCTCCCATACACACACACACACACACATGCACACACACATACATATATTGTTTTTTCTGAGATTCTTCAATAGCTAATTTGTAATGTTTTCTCCCCAGTCTCAGCCTAGTGCTCTGCCCCTTCCAATAAATCTTAGAGAGATCACTAAATGCCACCACCAAGACTGCCAGAGGTCAGAGATGGATTGACTTGCTCTCAAGAGCAAACAGAAAAGTGAACACTCAGGTGTCAGGGCTTCCACACTTTCAAAAGAGAGGTGACTTCACAGTTTGTAAAGAGCACACAAGAAGAGCAAAAAAAATATATAGATGAGAGTTTTCTTTCCTGTGCAGGTCGGGAAGGTTGCGCCTGCATACATACAGTAGATCACTTGATCGCTCCCTTCTCTCAAATATATGGCATACCCACATAAGCAAACATATGTGCACCCAGACAAATCCAAACCTACCCCATCAACAACGTACCTACCTACCTCCATCCAGGCTGGGCTGAAACCCAGCACTTCAACCTTATGAAAATAAATAAAGCAGTACAATGTGCTGTTTGTGCTCTGCTTTGCCTCCAGTGGAGAAGGTTTCACTCTGCTAGTCGACATCCTTCCCTGCTGTCCCTCTCCTCCATTTAATGATTCGCCTTTTACATTCCCTCTCATACCACATTTCCCACCAAAATGGCTCCTTTACGCAACTCCCCGAGCTCCCTAAGCCAACATGACCTCTTTATGTGTGTGTGTGTGTGTGTTTAAGAATGCAATGAGTGTTTTTAATTATGTCACTCCGCATGAGGATTTTTTTTTTCTGCCGGAACATTTTGGTCGCTTTTACAGCCTGCCTGACTAAATGGTTTGTGTGAGTTGTATGTGTGTTTGTGTTTAAGTGTGCCCACCCAGAGACGCATGCATATATGCTAGGAAGCCAGTATGCTAATGTTAGGGAGTGTGTGTATGAATGTGTGTGTGTGTGTGTGTGTGTGTGTGTGTATAAGTGCCCTACACACACACACACACACACTACATGAACAGCTGTTCACCCTGTCTCCACCAGAGGCACCACAGAGCAGACTCAGGCAGTCTTTACACAGGTTTCAACACGTTATTCATTCCATTCTATTAATACAATGCTTTTAATCTCATCCCACTGTGATACAGCTCAAACATTCACAGCTGAGCCTCTCATGAGATTTCTGTATATATATCACTCGGCATAACCCTACAAATTATGGTATGAATGGAAAGTCCGAGCCCAGCGAAGGACTTTAGATTTTGGGCCAGACCATGTGGGCTGAAGGAAATGACCTACTAGCTTTTCAAAACATCCCTGTGGCTGGCTTTGGGGCCAGGGCTCTGGCCCTGATTGGTGAAAGCTTAGAGAGGTGTTTCAGGGCTCAGTGACGATGTTATCACATAGTAAGTGGCCTTAATGGGCTTCCAACTGTTTGTTTGAAGGGCTCCCCTAATGACAGGGATCAACTGATAACAGCCTCTGCTATACGCTGCACAGACAGCCATCAGACCCTCTCACGGATGAGCAAATGCCTTTGCACATTTATTTCGATACATGTAGCAAGGATGGGAGTCCTGCAGAAACACCCACGTGGTCACATGACCTGAAGGCTGCAGTGAAGCGCTGAGGTTTTCTGGGTCCACTTCCTTCAAGTTTGCATTAAGAATGAAGAAAAGCCTACTATTCCTACATGTGCAAACACAGTCGACCCACCCCACCCTCCCCTCTCCTGTCTCTTCCCACCTCTGTGCAAAACAGGTATTTCCAAAGACACTCTGGTGCCAAAACAGAGCGCCGCCATGGGAGGTGCTCCGACAGGTCGGCACAGCATGCACACCCAATAAAGGTAGGTGTCACCCGGACTACCTTTGTAACAACAATTACACACACAGCTCTGAACTTGGGCAAGAATGCAGCGCTATTGACTGCACGCACAAACACAGAAATATCTATAGTGCTACTCCCTTTATGTGGAAGGTATTTTCTCAGTCTGGCCTACAGACAGGCCTGACAACAATGAGCAGGACTGTTAAGCCAAGTCCTGGAGAAGGAGTAGAAGGAGAAGAAAAACAGGGCCTGGGGAATGTCCAAACCAAGGCCTTTTGTCTTCCCCACGAACATTTAAGAGAGCAGGGAATGAGACTGCTGTCAGCAAAATGACTTGTAACATTCCTTGTCAAGGGATACACCAATAGGATGTTTTAAAAGCCGATAAAAACAACAGAGAGTTTTCCACTGAGCGGCCAAAATTTATACTGATACTAAGATGTATCTTTGTGCAAGAAATGCAGTGCAACAGAGGTTTACAGTTTTAGAAACTTTACAATTAGCCAACTAGTCTATTAAGTTATCAGTCGACAGGCATTAAATGATTCAATATTTAAACAAAAGTGCCAAAAATAATCTGGTTCAAGTGTCTCCATTGTGAGGAAAAGCTCCTTTTCACTGTTTCTTTTTCATTGTACACTGACTTTTTGGACTTCTGGACTAACAAAACAAGCAATGTAATGCTGTTACACTAACATTTTTAGACATTTGATAGAGTTAACTTTCAATCAGTATCTGAGAAAATTATTGACTTATTATGAAATTATAGTTGCGTACCTTGATATAACCGTCTTCAAATGATTAACTGGGGACAAAAATGGAGATACTTTAATCACAGATAATTTCAATCAAAATAATTACAGTAAATAACATTGAACCAACACAGACACTTATCTTTTTAGCTAATATCAGTTAATATAAAAAGGTACTAAACACGAATGTCAACCACCACACATAAGGCCGAGTTGACGCTAATTGTCACTGTGATCCCGACTTAATCTTTGACCCTGGCCGTGTTTGAGCTCTGACAGAGAGCTTAAACCAAATAGCTGCAGTATTTAACCCTTGTGAATGATACTAGTGCCAGTGCGGATGCGTTAGCACAAGCAAGTCATGTATGAAGCCTCAGTGCATGTGGTTGCCTGTGTCTGTTTGTGCTTTGATACTTGTTTTTGTTTAAACTCATGCCAGCATAAAAACCAAAAAGAATCCATCTGTCAGTGCGGTGGGATTTCATTCTGCGTCAGGGGTATGTTTCTAGTTTTTAGATGAAAGAAGTGCTCTGTTAGTGTGTGTGTCTATGTGTGTGTGAGTGTGTGTGTGTGAGAGAGAGAGAGAGAGAGAGAGAGAGAGAGAGAGTGGGATGAGTGTCTCTGATGGTGTGTTTGCCTGTGTGTTTTTCTTGCAGGGTGTGTTCTTGGATTCCACCACACCAGGACATTACCCCCAGGTGCTCTCTCTCTCCCTCTCCCTCTCTCTCTCTCTCTCTCTCTCTCTCTCTGGTTCTGTGAAAATACCTTGAGGATTAGGTGGGCAGCGGCAGCGAGAAGGAAGGGGGGGAGTGAGGTAGTGATTGACGGCTGAAAAGCTGGAGAGGTGCTCAGGCATGCTGCGGTGGTGGTGGTGGTGGGGGGGAGTGAAGGGGACACAGGCGGGGAGGGGGGCTCCCAAGCTCTGCACTCAGCTGTTGCCACCCACACCCATTATTACCCCTCCACCACCTACCACCCACCACCACCTGCCACCCCTTTAACACTGCACCCTGATCGGATTTCAAATAACTCCTGCTTACCTTTCCTTCACAACCTCGACAAAAGTGTTCATTCTTTTTCTATCTTCTCCTTTCTCTCTCGCATTGATGTCCTCGCCACCGACTTATGCCGCAGTGGTTTCATACATGGATACTCCCTGACCTAGAATCCTGTTGTTGATTAGTGGTTTTTGAGGCGAGCAGGTGTTTCGAACAATGAGCAATGTATATGGCGGCAGCGTGTGTCTGATCTGGCTAGTTTTTGCATGACAGAAAAACACTCTGGATTGCCAACAATCTCCTCTTTGTGCTCTGTGCTCCATACATCATCCTATCTCAGCACTTCAGAATACAACAGTGCCCCCTGTGGTCAAGTCTGAAACTACAAGTTTGACACTGGTGGAGCATGCTGTTGTGATTTGAATCCTGTTTCCTCCTCGACGCTCTCACTACAAATAGGTGTATGAAACCCTCGAACTGAATAGTGCTACTTTTCAAATATCTGCTGATGCTCAGTCTTCATCACCTCATCTGAAAGAGCGTTGTTTTGTCCCTAATTGCAGACTTGTGGGTTGTCTGCCTCACAAAAGCTCTGTGAGAGGTCCACACAAACACACACACACACACACACCAGAGAAGCCAGAGCCAGAGTTTGTGGTCACAACCACACCATCTACAAGTACCGAGCATATAAGGAAACCACAGGCCCAGAGTAATCATCGTATTGATGAAAGTAGACTTTTTCCTCATGGTTTCTTTGGGGGATTTTTTCTTCTACCGCTCATCCTATATCACAAACAGACCCGAAAAGTTTTCCATTTCCACAAAATTACACATAATGAAGTGCAATTTAAGTAGCCGTATATTCCTCTTTCCAGTACACATCCAAATTGTTTAATGTGACTTGACTAAAATGAAGGTAATGGCCATAAATGAAGTTAGAGCTGAGATGGAAAATTACACAGGGGAGGGAAGACAAGTCAAATACACACAGTAATGAAAATGACTTACAGAGAGCGGCCATCTCTTTAGGTAGGTCGGCCCCAAATCTCCCAAACAGGCTGCTGTTGGCCAGCAGGTCAAAGGGGGAGTGGCTTCTCATGGAGTTGAATGGGAAGGGGTAGACAGCAGGTGGGAAGCCGGTCATGTGACCCACCTGCTGTTCCCTGTTGGTAGCCATGGCAACAGAGCACCCAGGGGTCCGCAGCAGGCCGCTGGGTGAAGGTACCGGCTCTTGCAACACCTGGAAATCCTTTGCGAAGTTGAAATCCGGGTCCTTTTGAAGACTCTTAAAATGTGTTGACTGTATAAGAAGCAGTGGGGCCTCTGGTTTACTGAAGGACGGTCGGACTCCACTTCAGATGAGTAATCCAGTCACTTTTCTGTGGAAGAGAGGACAAAAACATTTGTTATTTCTTACTAATAAATTCACCACATAAAACACAAAGTGTTTCTGATCAGCATGAACATGATGATACAATCAGTGGTTTATGATGAGATCTGTTCCGGATTTAACAAACACATTTCACCTCACATCAACTCTGAGTCCTTCTGCACTCTGGGACAGAGAATAGTTTATCCACCGTTTTAATGTAAGAAGGATGTGTAAACTTCATACCAACAGGTATGAGAGAATGGGAGGAAAAGAGGAAGTAACAAAGGAATGGGACGGCGAGAACCATAACAGATAAAGACATGAGAGAAAAACGAATGAGTGAGCTGTGAGAGGAAAAGCCAGAAAAACTGGGACTGGGCGAGGGGAAAAGAAAATAAGAAAGAAGTTTGGAAAAAGTTATAACAGGGAAGAGCGGGAGGGAGGGAGGAAGGGAGGGCGGAGAAAAAAAGAGAGAGGGAGAAAGAGAGAGAGAACGAGAGAGAGAGCTCTTGTTCCTGCAGTTTTGAAGAGCTTCCAGACTTCTACAGTGATTCCAGGCTATGCCATATGATTTAAATCACCAGAACTCTACTATAAAGAGCTCCTCTGTTCCTGCTGCCAGCCTAGCACAGCAGCCTGCCTCTTTGCCTCTTTCCCCCAGGACCAGAGGCCCAGACACGGGGTCCAGAGCATGAAGAAGGGAGAGAGGAGGGGGTCGATGGGTAGGGAAAATGAGATCCACTGATTTCTAACTGCTGCTGTCACTTCCAACTATCTTCTCTTGAGGTCAGGCTCCCATCCCACAGAGTCATTTTGGCTCTAACCTCCTGCAGCCCGCTCGTCACTTTGACTCCACACAGTAGGCATAGACAAGTCAGGCACAAGTGTGGACAAAGCTACAGTTATGCCCCACTGTTGACTCTTAACAGAAGAAGGAAAAAATTCTTAAAAAAAAAAAAAAAAAGCTAAGGCCTCCCATTTTCTTTTTCATGTTTTCTTTTTGCCTTTCGCTTCCTTAGCGTGATTTCATGAGTGGGTGGTGTGATCAGCTTGTTTTTTAAATGTGGCTTTGAAAAAGAGCAGAGCCAAGGAATTTGGAACTGCTGTGGCTTGTGAATCTGGGAGAAAAGACAGGGAAAAAATCTTGGTAATGAATTCGGTATAAACAAAGAAATGAGGAGGGTGGGTGGGGGGGGGAGAAAGATCTAAGGCTGAACCGGTGAACTGCTGAACTGAGCGAAAAAGCACAGAGGAACAGTGACAGGGTCTGGGCACTTGGGGGCACTAGGAGGTGGCGCCATGCCCAGGAAAAAGAGGGAGCGCTTTCCAAGATGCACACATATGCACCACACACTCTAAAACACATACACATGCAATCAAGCACTCAAAAACTCCACACGTCACATGTGTGAGAGCACCCTCTAACACGCACACACACACGCACATGCACACACACACACACACACACACAAACACACACACCTCTCACCCCATGCCTTTTTCCAGGGCTCTGGCTCCCTCCCTGCCTCTCTTTCTGGCTCTTTCTCTTTCAACAGAGCCAGTTAATTACACCCTACTGCTGCAGGCAGCTTCAAACCACCACTAATTTAGAGTTCCATTACAGTAAACTGTTCCACATGTGCATCCAGGGCCCAGGCAGGCTCGGGTGGCCACGTTTCAGGAAGGAGCAGCCGCCGATAGGCACCCACCCCCATCCTGCCAACACAGCCATACTGCCATCTTTCTTCTTCTCCTCTTTCTCGCTGTATTTTTTGCTTCAAATCTCTACCTTTTTCCAGTCAATTCCTCATCAAAACTTCCTTGGATGTTGTTACCCCTCCGCCATTTCTGACCCACCCCACGTCTCCTCTTTATAATCATGTCCTTTTACCCAATCCTCTCCCCCGCCTCCCCCCACCCGCACCCCGTCTTTATCCTTCTAGTGCTTATACAACTTGTACCATGACCCTGTGCAGCGGTTCCACTGTGTGGCTAACACACAAAAACATCACTAAAGATTTCACAGTGGGCCTAATGGGAGAAGAGGTACAGACTGGAAAAACAAAACTGCCAGCGACACACAGGCTCATAATGTGCATGTGTGTGTGTTATGAGTATGTACTTGGCTAGCGTTTGGCCCGTTTGGATATCTGCTTCATGAACTCAAACTAGGCCCCATAAAGGCAGCACAATTCGTCTGGAAGTGCTGGGAGGGAGAAGGATGAAGAGAAAAAGGTAACTGTGTGAGAAAGAGAGGAATGATTGCAAAGAACACGACTGTACGTACAGGACTTTTGTTTTCTCAAAAGGGGAAACAAAAGCATATTGATCCAAATATTTGGTTTAAAATGACTAAGTCCGAGCGGGGAATTTGCCCACAGTAAATGGCAGTTTCACTGTCCGTTCAAGTGTACGTTGTGAAACGAGAAAAGAAACTAAGAGACAAAGAAAGACAGAAAGAAAAGAAGAGCTAAAGCACAGAGACACAGCCTTTTAAAATAGAACCCAGTAACTTTACGCTCCCCAAACACAATAATGAATTAATAAAAGAGTTGGCGCCAGTGTTTTTTAATGAGTCACATCAGCCCAGCAGCTTTTTACAGAGCCATTTATGTTTTATGTTGGGTCCTGTGGTAGGCTCACTTCGCCAGCCCGTCTGGGGCTATAAGGGGATAAGGGGAATTTAGAGTGACCTCATCCCCTGTTAGCCAGGGCCAAATGGGCATGGAGGGCCTCCCCACTTCCCCTGAGCCTGGGGGGCACACAGGAGGCAGCAGGCGGCCAGGCAGGCAAGGAGCACCAGGGCCAGCGATGGGTGGGTTCACGGCTGCTGCCGGGACTTTCCGTCATTGCCTAAGAGGTGCACCGTAGCAGTTTAAATTTACTTTGGTTGTTTCTGTAAATAGTAGAGTGTCAGACCTCACAGTAGCTCATCATGTTAAAGCAGACTCATTGGTTACACTCGAGATAATCCATTGATTTTATCAGGACAGGACACCGTGTAGCAAATGAAATGAACTCAATCAAGCTGGCAATTTGGAGACAGCGGCGCAAGATGAGGCATGCTTCGAGACAACGGGATTCTCTTGTTTGCCGAGGAGTTTAGATTTCAACAGAAAGATGGCGCAGAACGCAAAATCAAACAACAGCAAAAAAGACAGAGGGAGAGAGAGAGAGAGTGAGCGAGAACTGTTCCCACAGATTGAATGTCTGTCAAACAAAGGGTATCAAATCCTCTGTGAGCAAAACAACAATTGTGCCTTAACCGTTGTGACAGAGTGAGGCCCCTCAGGCAATAAGAACTGCAGTCAAACATAACAAATAAATCACGGCATCTCAGGAAGCTCTGCACCACACAACTGAGAAAAGCAGTTGTTTTTTTCTAGTCAGCACAAGAAACCACAGGTGATTACTCGGCGCATATGAGCAGGATTCAGGGTGCCACAGCTTTCCTGGTTTGTTTACTGGTGGACGTGTCTTATTCCAGTCAAAGGAAACACAAAAGGTATTGAGTTGTAATTTCTGTTATTTGTGTGAACATTTGTCTCTGAAGTCAAATTTTCACAAGCCACAGCATACTAACTCATTTGACTACTATTTGTTTCACTTTTCTGAGCTCGAGTGAGTTCACACGTTTTTGAATTTCCTCAACTCCCCACAAGGCCAGAATATACAAATTTCTGCAAAGAATAAAAACATGTCAAGCGGCCTGTGCAGGGCTGCAACTCCAAACGTTCACTGTAAGAACAGATTGTAAATTCACAGGCTCAAGATAAATGAACTGTGCCATGTATGCTGGCGGGGAAAGCATCCTCTTGCTCTTTTTCCACCTCTGACTTGCCCACTCCTGTTCATTTTTTGACAGAAACTTGCACATGTCTTCCAGGCACTGTCTTCCAATTGTCAACATTGCAAAGTGATTTATGTTCAGTAACTTTGTAAAGGAAACGAAATGAAGCGGAGAGGAATATGTTTCGGTTTTGATTTGTAGATGAAATCATACCACCACAACAGTTAAACAATGATTTTACTGCCAATGTGTCCTAACTGAGTTGACAGACTGGCTTTCTCCAACCGCTTGGAGCAAAAACGAACATTTAGTGTCATTAACGCTGCTTAATATGCCCACACAGAGCCATCAGGAACTGTTTAGCACTCGGATAAATGAAAATGCTCTTAGTGAAACATGATCATAAGAGCGTTATCTGATCCTGTTGCCGGCGTCAGCAGTATTTTGACTGTAAAAACAATATCCTCAACACTATTATCTGATGCAAAGCTGACAGCCTCCAGTCTTTCAACAAGTGGCTGGCTAATGGCTCTGAAAGAGACACCGAGTGACAGACGGTCCAGTGTTTCCAAACAGACCTGCATTCCTTCACCTAAAACTTGTTTGACATCTGCCTGCGCCTCATCACACAAACACATATTTGGCTCCAGCAACAATGCAAAGGAGCACCTCTGTGTAATCATTTGTCACTTTAAGAAGTATTGTTTTTCAGGAGTGCCACTGGGGAGCGTCATTATGCAATACTTTGCCTTCTACCTATAAATCGTTAAACATTAATTCCTAAATCTTTTTTTTGTTCTCTGAATTTTTTCTGTTTAAATTCAATGTCACAAAACAAGCTGTGTTGACTTGCAATGGTGGAGAGAGAAAGAGAGAGAGAGTTATGGAAAGAGTGAGAACTCAGAGTGAGACATAAAACACTTTGTGACATGATGAAGTCATCCTGACAGCTTGCTGTTTCCATGATGTGGTAGAGCTTTTGGAGTACTCAACATGGAGACTTCAGCAGTTGGTCAAGCAAAACAAGAAAACACACCACGATGGGAAAAGAAAAAGACGGACAGAAACTTTGAGAAAATAGAGAAAGAGTCAAAGAGAGGCTGGGAAAACAGACAGAGCAGAAAGTTCAAGATGGCAACGGTGTGAAAAGTAAAGTTGGTTCTACTAATTTGTCTCATGCAGTTGTTGCTAAACTGTTGAAGATCCACACAGGCAAG